TTATGTGCCACCACTGTTTCCTGATGGTGTGGACTGGATGCCTGTGCCCTTTGAAAGTGCCTCAGTCAGTCACAGCAATGGAAAAGACCTGGAAGCCAATGAACAAAAAGCAGGAAACACAGATGAGAAAAAAGAGAAAAATCCTGAAGCAGGATCTCCTCAGCTGAGAACTGTAGAAGGAACCCTAATGGCAAAGGGAGCCAGTAATGAGAATGATCAGATAAGATGTGAAGGGGGCTGCATGGTCCGTGATCTCCCCAGCAAATTGTTAACTAGTAAAGACGATTCCAATAGTGATTGCAGCCACTCAAATACATGCAGTATGCAGGCCTCTTCCGATCAGGAATCTGAAAAGGTCAATGAAAAAACCCTTATACATGTGCGTAAAGCTCTACTTAATCGAGCAGTCAAACTGGAAAGGAAAGGCAGACAGCAAGAAGCAAATATACTTTTGAAGCAAGTTTTAAAATTAAACGTAAAAGGAATGAACAGGGTCTAGTCTAATATGAGGAAAAAAGGAAATTTATAAGTATTTCTCACATATCGATTAGTGTTAGGGGTATCGCAGTGTTTATATTTATAGGTCTAATAATTGTAGAATTGTTACATTGTTGCTCACACCTGAAGAAGGCTCCACGGCCGAAACGTTGTGTTCTCTTTCTTCTTTTTTTCCGCATGGAATAAATCTATTACTTGTTCCTTTGCAGCCTACGCATGCTGACACAGCTACCCACCTGAACTATATATATACATGTTACATCCCAGTGTGGTCAATGTGTGTTTGTTTTGATAATATCTACCACACTTCCTGATTTTGGTTTCTTTTCCCTCCCCATTGGTTCATTAATTCATCCATCTTTGCCATTGTGACATCATCTTCAATCATCTCTCGACCAATCAGAACTCAGCTTATTCAGTATTTAACTTGGAGGTTTTCGAAATGTAGGGGCCTTACGGTTGACTTTAGTTCTGCTTAGCTCCAATTTTGCTTAATTTTCTTTCTTTCTTTCTTTCTTTCTTTCTTTCTTTCTTTCTTTCTTTCTTTCGCTCTGTGTGTATGTTTCTTGTATAGCGTAGTCTTTGTGTTTGTCTCCTTGTACTTTTGTTTGTTTGTATTTTCCTTTATTTCACCATTACCTTCCCCAAACATGTTTATATCAACTTCTGTGCTCTTTAGTACCCTATTCCTTGGGTTTACACTCGTTTTCCTTATTTGTAATTTTAGTTCACTTGTGTATTGTGTAAGCAGTCTCCCATGGAGGCGTTTTCTACACTTACACTTGCAGGGGTATGGATCAAGGTAGCTAGATACTGTAATTCAGCATGTGATAGATACTGAACAGCATTCCCCTATTAGGACAAAACGTAAGCCAATTCCTGAAAAAATACAACCCATAGTAGATAAGGAAATTGAACAAATGCTAGCGTTAGGAGTAATTGAGCCTTCTACTAGTCCTTGGTGCTCCCCAGCAGTTATTGTACCTAAAAAGAATGGAGAAATCAGGTTTTGTGTTGATTTCAGGGAAATAAATCAAATTTCAAAATTTGATACATACCCCATGCCAAGAATAGATGAATTACTTAATTTACTGGGTGGAGCTAAATTTATATCTACTTTGGATTTAACTAAAGGTTATTGGCAAATTCCCTTAGAAGAGGGGTCAAAATGTAAAACTGCCTTTTGTACCTCTCGTGGCCTTTACCAATTCAGAATGATGCCATTGGGGTTGCACAGGGCACCAGCAACATTCCAAAGTTTGATGGATCATTTGTTGCAACGTCATCTAGGTTATGCTGCTGCCTATCTGGATGATGTAGTAATTTATAGCCCCGATTGGGAGAGCCACCTAAAGCACTTAGAATTGGTGCTGGAGGTAATAGCTAGGGCAGGTCTCACCATCAATCCACAGAAATGTGTGTTAGGAACTTCAGAGACAAGGTACTTGGGATATATAGTGGGAAACGGCCAAGTGAAGCCAGAGATTTCAAAGGTAAAAGCAGTATCTGAAACGACAGTGCCTATTACCAAGAAAAAAGTCAGATCTTTCCTTGGATTATCTGGTTACTATCGCCGGTTTATACCACATTTTTCAGAAATTGCAGCACCTCCGACAGAATTAATTAAGAAATCGAAAAGAAACCAGGTAGATTGGACAGATGAATGTCAAGTAGCATTTGACAAAGGGTTTTTAAAAAGGGTTTTATGTGCTGAACCAGTCCTAAGTAGTCCTGATTTTTCTAAACCTTTTATTGTACAAACGGATGCATCAGAATTAGGTTTAGGAGCAGTCCTTTGTCAGGGAAAAGAAGGGGAAGAGCATCCAATTCTTTATATTAGCTGGAAATTGTTTCCCAAAGAGTGCCTAGCTGTAAAATTGGCTTTAGAAACTCTCAGATACTATTTGCTGGACAGGCAGTTTACTCTGGTTATGGATCATCATCCTCTAATTTGGATAAATAGCATGAAAGATAAAAATGCTCGCATAACGAGATGGTACTTAGCTCTACAGCCATTTTGCTTCCAAGTAAAGCACGGGGCTGGAATGGAGCATGTAAATGCAGACCATCTGTCAAGATATGGTTTTGAAATAGAAGAAAAGATGTCGGAAACTGTGGTTCCCTCTTAAGGGGAGGGCTAGTGTGAACCACTAGTCCAGGTTTTTTGTTTAAGTGCCCTAGGCAAGTTTGTCCAAAGTACTAGTCAATGCAGTGTTTAATTGACTGACGAGGTCAGCTGTCAAAGATGAACAGTCTTCTAAAAGGGGAGAACTACAGTAAGTATGGCATTAGTGAAAGCAGAGTGTTCACAAATTTCAGATTTCTAAATCAGATTGTGTGGTAATGTAAGGGGTAAAGGCTCAAATTAGTGGAATTAGTTGAGTACCAATGGGCCTGCATTAGAAATACTGATATTCCTTATTTATTTCAATGATCTTTATTGCTGTTTTCTGGTATAGTTGGTTAAATGTTAAGGTTTTCAGATAATAACAAAATATGAGGATGAATAAAGAAAATTTAAAAGCATTAAGATAACATTTAAAACTGGATATGTACTGTAACTGACAGTCATTTATTGTATAACAGTGTAGGGTAGAAAAAACATAAGGAAGTGTGAAGTGTTACATACAGGGTAGAAAAAACATAAAGTACAAATACAATAAGAAACACTGAGCCTGAAGAAGCCACCTATGAGAAACACTGAATGTTATGTTGAAACATTTTCCAGACAATTTGAGAAAGCATTCAAATGTTTAAGGAACGTGAAGATGTATACTTAAAATTACTTGATTTAACATAAAAATCACATCATTTGATGTTAAAAATAAAAGATGCACTATTAAAATCACATTTGGAATATTGTGTACAATTGACAGCTGGTGATTACAGTATGTTAGAAAAAAGACGTTGCTGCTCTGGAATCACTCCAGAGAATGGGGTCAGGAATGTGCTCCACTGACATTCGAAAAGATCTTAATCTTGAACAGGGGAGACGACCATGAAACCCGATTCATATTCTCAAACACATTGACTCAAATGCCTGTGTAGAAAAGGAGATGAAAGACACACCACAGAATACAAGTAAAAACTATGTGTAAGTTCATTCAAAATTGAAAACAGGAGGATGCCTTGGAGGAAAGGTATGGAGAATACTCCTGTGAGGGTTTTTTTTTGTTATCCTTATTTTTTGGCAATAAATCCAGTTTTGGTTGCATCTGAAGACTGCTGTGTGGA